CCTGTCCTTCCTTCTTCCCTGCTGTGTATTTTCTTATAGCTTTGAAGCATCTCTGGTTTCGTAGGACTTGTGTTGAACTGATTATATTAAACAACTTGTCAGAAGACTATGGTAGCACAAAACCTAAAAATAAAGTGGACAATCTATGTTACTTTAGGGAGTTGAATTGACTCAGCTTGGTTTTGCCAAGTGCCAGACTTAAGGAAAAGTGCTGGACTTCGCAGTTGTGGCAGGTGAGTCAGGGTAGGTGCCTGTATTGGAAGAGGGATTAGCAGCAAGGTATTGCCCTGTCTTGGCAAAATGCATCCCTCTCACCCTCAGATTCTCTAGAGAAGGAGTATGAAAATTGGTTGTATTCCTGCCAGATTTTTTTTAAGCTCAATTTTCTGCCCTGAAGCAATACAGCTGTTGCTGCAAGTGAGTAGCTGCCATTAAAAGATGAAGTTAATAGTTCCACCCTGCTTTTACTCTCCAGCTCTGGAGGAACTGAGATGCATCTCTTTAGTACTTTGTAGTACTTTCTGAACTCCTTCGTGCTCCTGAGGCCATTACACACAGTCTGAGAAATGTTTTTCTCGACTAGGGTGTTGATTGTGTTATGCTTCTCATACAATACCATTTAAAAGGACTAGAGTAGCGTGAAGGTAATCTTCAAGGAAAAAACAGCCCTTCCCCAACCTGGCCCTTGCTATACCACCTTGTCCGCAGCTTACTCTTTGATACTCTTGGCAAGCAGAAGGTGCAATTTTGCTCTCCGTGCTTGCAGAAGAGAATAAGAGGCAGAGCTTCGAATTTTGCTGAAGGTGGTGCATGACGTGTCTTTTTGAAATAAAAAAAACCCAAACCCTTTGAAAATTCATATGTTCTGAAAATAGCTTTTCTGTCTCATGTTTAGAGTCTTTAAATTAATGTTAAATAGCCTGACGAGCTCTACAGTGATTCTCGGCTCTTCTGGCAAGGATAATCATACTTATTCCTTTATATTTCTCATTGCCAGTCCTTCTCAATCAGAGTTGTAGCTGAAAACTGTAGAGGTTTTATGAATCAGTTGCATGCTTCCTACTGTGCTTTGCAGACACAAGGGGAAAATGGACTTAATAGTTAGTTAATAGTTGCTGTTTTATATGCATTAGGCATTATCATATTAATCTTAAATATGCCTAAGCCTACATTTGTAGATGTATTGTCAAAACTATTTTCATTTTTTATTCTCTTTATTTCCTTTTTGGTTTTATATTAATGCAGTTATATTTTATTGTATATAGAATGGTTTAGGTTGGAAGGGACCTTAAAGATCATCTAGTTCCAAACCCCCTGCCATGGGCAGGGGCACCTCCCACTAGACCGGGTTGCTCAAAGCCCTGTCCATAACCATACTGAATGGTTATTTTGAAAATAGCGTTTGTACAGTGTAGGATGATCTGTAATCAGTTCTATAATAACTACTGCTGATCACTGTATTTTCTTTGGTATAGTCTTGATGATTTTTATTTGTAACTATTGCCATTATGTTATACTGCACTCAGTTATAGCAATCAATTATTAATGACGTAAACTTTGAGACTGTAATGGGACAGAGAGCCTAAAGTGTGTGAGAGATTTATCTATTAAATGTAGTTAAGTGGGACTGGGTGTCTTGCCAAAGGTCATAGAAAGAATTTATGGTCAAGGGAGTATAACACATTTTCCTCTTGTCCAATTCTCATACTTGAGTTACACAGTCACGTTTCATGTGTATTTTCTGCTGTTTTCCCTGTCCTCCAGGTATTTGTTACGGAAATTAAGTCGTCAAGTACCACTTCTAGATGTTGGGCCCCTATAGCAGGAAAACAGTCCAATAAGTGTTTTGTTCTTGAAGTGTTTGTGTTTATATTTTAATAACACACTTCTCTTTACAAACTGTTGTATTTTTCAGTAGTACTGCTTTTTTATTTGTGTATGTTTCCATCAATTTTGCTGTAAACATGAGATAATCTATTTGTTTAAAGCCTTGTTTAACACTCTTAAATCGCAACCCAAATTTTAATTAGTTATAATTAAACTGTATTTGAGTGTATTAGTACCTCACCCTTTTATTTAGCTCAGTGTGGTGTATTTAGACAAAATTTTTTTGTTAACTAAGAGATTAGACTACCATAAATAAGAAAAATGTAGGGTAGTCTCATTGCTTGAAATCAGTGAGAGGATAAATAAAACTTCCTAGAAATTCATATATCCAGGCAGGCTTTTTTTTCTTGCTGTATTTGGGGGGAAAAAAAAAGGTGGACATGTGCAGAAACTGTGAGTACAATTAGCGTCAAGCAGATAAATCCAACTCTAATCCTGTTTACGCTCTACATCAGACAGATGTGCTGAGATTGATTTAGACAAGCCCTTGGCTTATAGTAATTTTTTTTTAAAGTGGCATATATTCTCTTTTTGTTAGATCTGTGTTAAATGTTAAGTGCTGTTAGTTTTACTCTTCCTAACGCCTGTAACCTACTTTATAGAGGTTCCCTCTCTGCTCTCATGATGACAGAGCAGCCTGGTACAAGAGATTATCTTTATTCCTTGTAATTAAATTGACTTTTCTTTTTTTTTTTTTTTTTTTTTCCAGAAGATACAACAATGGGAAGTGGGTACTGAATTAAATAAATAGCATGATATCTAATAGATGTATACTTAAATCTCTTGGAAGAACAGATGGTACCCAATATCTTTCTAAGTAATGTGAGAGGACAGTTAATGTCCTGAAACAGCTAGCAATAACCAATATGATACTAGTGAAACAATAGGGTTTTTGAAGTTTAAAAAAGTGTCCAATCCAAGATACACTTTATTTTCATAGTAAACTTGGTTGTTATCCCATACTAGAAATATTTTATAAATTTAAATAATTACTTAAATTTTCTTTATCTGAATTGTTTTATAAAACTTTACTGTATTTGCAATGATACTATTTTTAGTAAAAATAGAAGATGAAAATGAGTGTTCCTAGGGACTTTTATGGAGATTTCTTTTCAACTTTAGTAAAAGTTGGCTGTCTTAACCCTACTAGCTAGTTCAGTATTTCCTTTACAATTTAAAACTTGAGGATGATGCTTTTGTGTGATTCAGTATTCCTACAGTTTATGTGCTTCTCCAAGCTGTAACTGGAAATGTATTCCAGTAGAACAACTAGAGTCAAATACTACTTTTGAAAATGTTGTGCTGCCTAGTAAGAATGTATTATTTTAAATGTCAAAAGTTTTGACGTGCATCTGAGCAACACAAGAATTTGACAAATACAGAGTAAGAGGAAGATGTAAAAGCAAACAAAAATCTGGCTGAAATAGTAGCATGAAAAGAATAGACAAGACCTGGCTTATGACTAAATGTCATTCTATCAGGCTAATGGGGGAATAAAAAGGGTTTTAACACGCCTTCTTTTTACTTGATTTGTGCAGGACAAATAGGCTTATGTTTGTCATTTATTTGTGATGCATATGCTTAAAATCAGCATTTACGCCCAGATGTTTTAGAAGAACAATCTAAAGTTTGAAAAAATCCAGATCTCTGGTTTGGCAATGTTAGTATTAAGGTTGCTTGCACAATGTCCACTCACCCTTTGAGTCTATGCAAAATCATCGTTCAAATGGAATCGTACAGTTGTTTTCCCCGCAGCACCCTGGTTTCATTCAGTGTATCTTGTAGAAAATACTTTTATAGCAGTGACTACAGTACTTTAAGCTTTGTTTTGTTTTCTGTTTGTTGAGTTACCTCCCGTCTATTTGCTGCATACTTCTGAAAGTCTGCAATACAGAAGATTTCCCTTGTGCTATCAGTGCACACAACCATGTACTTGTCACAGCATTCCTACTAAGAATGGAATGATTTTAGTCCAGTTTTACACCTAGTTTTACACCTAAGTAACTGACATATGGAGAAATTAACATGGTAAAATATAATAAGTTGTAAAAATATATAGGAAGTATGATAAGGTCATGCTTCTATCTGCAGTAGGTTATTTGGTATGGAACAGGAAAAAATGGGTTGGTTGAGAATTGTCAGGAGAGGTAATATTGACTTAAGCTTCAGCTGTGTTAGTATTGCTGAGGTGCAGTCTTCCAGAATTTCTGGATAGAAAGATGATCACTGCATAGTCTGGCTCAAGAAACGATGTTGAGAAATGCCAGCCTCAGTCTGTTACTAGGATTGACACAGGCTTGCTTATTTTTCTGCTCAGAAGAAAGTATGACACTCTGAAGCCCCCAGCTTCATGTGGTGTAGTGAAATCGGTGAGACGTGGTTTTGCAGTCTCACACCTGCAGTGCTGTCCATCTTCTCCGGGATGACGGTTAAAATGGTCTTTTGCAGCTTCTCCCAGGCACTTCAGAACATCATGCAGCAAATATTCATCAAACAGAACCTGTTATGGCTTTTGCCATTGAAAAACCGCTTGAACGAGCTGTTGCTAGATTTGGAAAAGGTTTCTGGTTTCTAGCGTTTCCTGCCTTGGGCTGCAAAAGGACCTTTATTGGTCTAGCGTATCGGATGTGCTGTAATTGCAAAGAAAGCAGGAAAACTTGTCTTTTCACATCCAGAGTATCCGACACCTACAGGAACGGTGACATTTTGCCGTCAGTCTGTGTAGCTGCCTTTGTTTTTGAGGAATCAGGTGTTTTACAGCTCAAGAGAGCAGAAGGAGGAGAAGCCTGTACCACAGTGGTTCAGTTGGTACATCTCCAAAAGGCATTTGGAATGAGTGTCACTGAAGTTACAGTGTCTGCAGCCACAGTGTCTGTGTCTATAACATTCACGAGATAAGAAAACCTTCGCTTAGTGTTCCAGCACTAACACAAATCTCCCCTGGGGTGAGGGTCTTGAACTGTCACAACAACTTTGGAAATTGTTTTTCTGTTACTTGTCTTCTAAAGTAAATTGGTAACTCGAAAATGAAAGATAAGATGGGTGACATGCTTTTGGTTTATTTTTCTATTTTTAACTATTTTCTGATGTGTCTCTAGTCTAAACCCAAAAGGCAGAAGGTGTATCAAGTGAAAAATACATTGAACATTTAGTCAGCTTGGGTCATAGCGCACTTTCTGATCCAGGGTTTAGGAGACTGCATGTGCTATAATTGCTACGATTTAGGGGAATACAATGAAGAATTTGCTTTTTGAATGCAAATAATAATAAAAAAGGTGGTATTTTATTCTTTTTTTTTTTTTTCAATATCAGGAAAGGGATTAAATAACCTCTTTGAATTCATGTTATTTGTATAGCTGGATACCTAAATACCGGAAAGTTGGTAAAATGTAAGACTAGCGATTGAGGCAAATGATATGCAGTGGGTTTCAATATAGGCATGAGCAGATGCAACAAGTGAAGCTAGAGATGAAGCCGTAACAGTTTGGGTTTTTTTTTAAGATATTACTTGTAATCACATTGAGAACACTGTTTTTTCTTTTTTTTTTTTTCTCCCCTACAGGTGATTCCAGTATGGTTTTACAGGCTCAAGAGGAGATAATTGAAATGAAAGATGTATTTTCAGTAAAACTGAAACGTCGTCGTTTTGTAGGGCAGAAAAAAGGTGGTACTTTGTTGGGTATCACAATTTTTAAATGCTTGAATAAAGAAGAGAATAAACTAACAGACTGTGCTATTCATTTAAATAACTTAAGTGAAGATCATTGTCAATCATGGTTTAGACATCTAAAGGAAATTTTGAATGGTAAGCACTTAATTGGGGTTGATGTCATTATTATTTCAGACTTGTTTCTATTGGCAATACATACAGTTGAGTGAAGCCTAGAAAAATATTTTTCCTGTGGAAATTAAGACACACAGATATGAATATTATTGCTGGAAAATGTTTACTACTGAAATTTTACATGGTGAAGTGTAACATTTAGGAAAATGTCAATAATTGACTAATGCATTAAACAAATCGATGCTATTTTTTGGAAGTGTTTTGAAAGCTACTGAAAATAAGCAGCTTACTATATTCTGACTGAAGAGTCTTCTGGGAAATCTGTTTCTTAAAGAAATAAAATATATTGTTGATGGTTTCACTTGGAATTGCAGCACATCTAATGGTACTACAGATGTTGCAATTGTGGGCACTCTTCAGGGACTTCCGAGTGACTGTTTAGGAGCTCCCACTTGAGACCCACAGATGCGTTAAGAGATTAATGGGAGAGGCTTTCCTCTTCTTCATAAATTCACAGGTGGAAGTGCTCTTAAGGTTTTGTAGGACTCTTACTGTGTAATTTTATACAAAATGTATGGACAATAGCTAGTGATGAGAGGCAATTCTTCATTTCAAAAATATCTTTCTGGGTTTTCCTGGGCTAATGCCAGTTTCAGGATGCTTTGTTTAGTGTTTAAAGTTTAAGGATAGTTGCATTTTTTTTTCATGGAAGCTGTATCAAAATTAAGAAAAAATATTCACCATTTAGAGAAAAACCCAACAAACCAAAGCCTTTCACTGTAATTTAATACTATCAACATTGGAAAGACACAGAATATAGCACACTTGTGATTTAAAAAAACAAAACAAAAAAACCCCACAAACCACTCTCTGATTTAGCTCCAAAATGTGTCTCTGTTTACAGACTATAGCAAATGAGTTTGTTTATTATAGAAGAAAACCAATCCATCTTGTAATGGCTGAATTGTTAATACTGAGCCAGATTACAGAATTCAAATCTCACACATCTGTAGTGCTTGTAATAACACTTTCAATAGTGATTTATAGTTTACTTCTACTAAAGTGACTTTGTCAAAAGCAGACATTAGAGAAAGTAAAATAATATGAGTTATTAACAGTGCATTCTGACACTGCTTGCTTAGAATATGCTTTGGATTTTCCAAATAAAAGTGCCTTCCCTTGTCCCTTTTTGAAAGACTTTATTACGAAATATCTAAATCTGCAGAAGTGCCAATATTCTTGCAGATCTCCAGCTACCCATAAAGGCAGGGACATCTGCATAGGGAGTAAATGTCTTTTTTGTTCCCAGATTACCCTCCATCTATTAGGAGCAGTGATATCATATGTTCACAGAAAAAAAGCTGCAGTATCTCCTGCTCAGGTTGTCTTGACTTTTGAGGTGTAGTCTCTGTTTTATAGCTTTGTAATTGGAAGCTCCCTGAACCTGAAAAAAAGCACTGCGTGCAATGTTGCTGTTTCTAGTTCTTCCTTCAGCTTCTATCTTTCTCCAGAAGCTCGAACCTTGCACAGATTTTTATTGATCTGTAATCCTTACATTTTTCTCCTTTTCTTGTAGCGCAGGAACAATCAGGACTTGGGGGGGGTGGTGGGGTGGGTGCGGACATGGGACACAAGAACAACAACCAAACCCAAGCCCCAAAATATAATTTACTAATGTGTATATTGTTTTAAGTTCTGTAATCTCAATAAAAGTAGTTCTATGCTGTTACATTTTGAAGACTGAGTAGATATTCAAGCTGCATTTCTGTCGAGAAAATCAGCAAAAAAGCAGCAGCATTTTTGCATTTAGTGTGGAAGAGACACATCATCATTAATTTAAACAGTGATGGTATAGTAATGGTTTAAATCAGAAACAGGTTTTATTTAGAACGTACTGAACATTGGCAAGAAGTTCCCAGTGGGATTCAAGTCTGGACTAAAAGTATAAAGTGCAGATAAGTTCTGTTGATTCCTCACTAACTGAAATCTCAACAGGCACATTGATGTATCTGTGTTTGAAACAGTGATGAATTTTCATAGTTTTTGCCACAGCTTGTTTTCATGATGGTGCTTGTGACATCTATGTTAATGAACTCATATTGGCTTTTTAATGGTTTTCTTATGAACTGCAGGATAAAGTTAAAATTTAATCCTTCTAAAATAGTCAAAATTTAAGTGTACATATTTTTTTTTTTTTTCCTTAATCTTTCTGATCACAAAGTAAATTTTCATTAACTGCTGCATTATTGATTTGAAGGTTTTTTTATTACTTCTAGGCTGGAGCAAATTAAAAGCAGGTGACTTGCCAAAGTAGAGTGTATATATGTTTGGGTACGGCTATTGGTAAACATGTACTTTCATTTGTCAGAATCGCTAAATATGATGAAAAGGTGTTGCTCCTTTGAAAAGAAATGCAATTTCTATTTGTTTACTTTACTCTGACAGGTTTTAAGATTTTTATGCATATATAGTAATTTAAGGAACAACAATAGCAAGTTTATCAGTGATGACATGAGCTAGAGTTTTATCTGGAGATACGTTCTAGTGAAGATTTCCTTTTTTTCTGAAAAACCATGTACAGTTTCCCTTTTACTGTGCGTTTTGTGTCTGACACGAATGTTTCTTGCATGGTTTTTCATTTTTTCCTGTTCATCCTTACTGTCTTCATAGTGAGTATCCTTTGTTGCTTTGGATTTGTGTTCAGAGTACTTCAATTTAAAGTTTAACTAGGCTATAATTTTTTATGAAGCCTGTCATCATATAAGTGAGCACGCAGATATAATATAGTTGTTTAGAGTTTAGGTACTGTGGCTGCTATTAATGTCTTTTCGTGTGTGTGTGTCACAGGGTAACAAAACACATGTACTACCATCTTCCCACTTTTAAATAAGTTCTTATTTTCTGCGTAATGTTGCTGCTGTTCATATGCATGCCAGCTAGATATGAAGAACTTGCTCAATGATATGGTGTTCAGGAAAATTGATCTTTTGTATATTGCATATTTGTTAAACTGATGTAAAAGAACCACTGCCGCCTTAAAGTGTGTGCCTCTGGAGCCGTGGTTCTGGACTGGCTCCTGGAAAGCCCCAAATGGCAGTTTAGACAGATTGTAGTATGCTGCAGATCTCACGTCAGACCTATTGTACACCTGACTCTCAGTGATTTTGATTTATACATTCGCATCCTTTTGTATTGGACTTATGGGCATGTACAGCGGACATACTGTATCAGTGGAATTCACAGTTTAACTTAAAATCCTCTGTGTATGCAAATGCCCAGTGTTGCTTAAAGGGTTTGTAGCCCAGAAATGAGAGAAAATGCATAATTATCAAAGAGAAAATGCATAATTATCAATGCTTATCCTTTTATTTATTTTTTTAGCAAGATAAGACATTTTTAATAAAAGTTGATTTGAAAAAGTTTTACTTAAAAACTCTGTAAACTATCAGAAGACAGTAAATACGGTTAAGAATAAATGAAAAAGTAGCAAAAAAAATGCATGAAGTGTATTTTATTTTTACCTACTACTCTAGCATCTCTCACAGTGGGATTTGATATGAATGTCTGAAACTTCATGCATGAAGTTTTAATTAAACCATTAATGTTAAACATTAACTTCGGTTAGTTAATATTAACAGTGGTGTCTCCATAGTTACATTAGCAAATCTGTCTCATATTATTATTTTTCCTCGTGTATAATATTCTTACTGTTGTACAGAGTATTTATAAATGTATGCAATAATGACATGATTCCAGGCTCTTAACTTTTGTAACATAAACCCATTTTCATAAAGCTAAGAACTGAAAGCAGCACAGATGTATGTCTGAGTATAGCGTCTCTGCTGCCCTATGAGCCTTTGTTTTCAGAACACCCTGATTGACCCACCACCCTTCATGGTTCACTGATTCACTTGATAGATCAAGTTTAAACTAGTGCATATTAGCACATTTGTTAGTACTAGAGGAACAGTTGGCCTTCCTGCTTTAGGCTGCTGCTTCGTTTCAAATGGAGCAGCCATGGCAAACAATAACAGAATACCAGTTAGAACACCAAAAGGCTGACAGACTGACATCAGTTGCAGGCTGTAGTAAATGAGATTGATTCATTCATATAGATGTCGTTTAAAGAAAATTAAAGGATTACTATTATTTAAAAAAGACTTTTAAAAAAGTTTCACTGTACAGTTGGGTGAAAGTGTAATTTTTGACATTGGATGTTCTTTCATTTAACTCAGTTGTTTGGTGTGTTATAACATGTCCGGTTAATGATAATAATGATAAATAATAATTTTTGTCATGATCATCCTTTCATGTCAGTTGGCAATCATTTGACACAAACAAAACCACATCAGTAGCGTACCATATCTCTGCTCAAATGCATTGTTTGTGGTGCCGATTTCTATAAATAAAATAGTTTACCTCTCTAAAAAAGTAAATTGATATTCAAGTAGTCATAAAGGGAATATTCTAATACTTTTATCTTGTGAATTTATTTGGTTCTTGAAAAATCTTGCTGGGATTTATGTATTAACTCTGATCTACTTTTCAATAATGACCTAATATATATGATCATAAATACAGTTCCTGGTTTAGAATAATTTAATGAATGAATTTTTGGTTACAAAAAAAACCCCCAAAAAACCACCAAAAAACACCAAACCAAAAATTCAACTGTTTGCTTAAAAACCTAGGTGGTTTCTTTTTGGGTTTTTTTTTTGCACATAAATTGAAAAGTCTGCATTCTTTTGCCTGCTTATGCTTTCTTTTAAAACTTAATATTGCCACCTGGGGCTTAAATATTTACACTTAAAACTCAAAGAACATGTAAGTGAGATACCACTGTTTGCTTTTTTCCCTTCAGTTTTCTCCTAATGGTGGTTTAGCAGTATTGTAACTCGCACTGTCTGGGTAACAGAATTTATGATGCTTCATCACCTTTCTCTACTTATACAAGTTCTCTACTTTCCTATTCTTTCCCTCTGCTTCATGCATTATATCTTTATATATATGTATATTAAGCTTAATCAAAGACTCTGTAGTTAGTTTTTGCAGTTTTGTGGCTCTGGGTGTTGGTGGGGGTTGAGCATTTAGGGCCAACTGATCACACGTAGATCTCTTATAGAGAAGATAAGAAATATTACAGTGTATTTATCTATGTGGCTAAATAATTATTTTTTTTAAACCACGGGTCCTTATTCTTCTAGTTTTCAATTGAATTTCTGTTGACACTTTAGGCAAAATAATTAAGTCACAGAAATTATTTTTTTGGTCTTAATATTTTTAGGATTTCTAAAAGACTGCAACAATACCAGATAGCAGATTTCCATTAAGTGTCTTGTTTAACAAATATTATAATGTCTTTATGATGATGATTTATGTGTTTTAGTAGTCTGTGGGAACTTTTGTGTAGTCTTCCATGTTTCTGTGGTAATTCCTACGATTGGAAATTACCCTACAGTACATATCTGCAGTGCTTGTTTCGGCTTCCAGAGAATCAAGAATAATTTAGATTGGAATGTACCTCTGGAAATTATCTATTCCAGCTTCCTGCTCAGAACAGGTGAGCTTCTAAACAAGATCAGGTTGCTAAGAGCCATATCCAGATAAATTTTGGAAATCTCTACGGATGGCCATTCCACAGCCTTTCTGGGCAATGTGATCCGTGGCTTAACCGCCCTCAATGTGAAGAGTTTTTTTTCTTTATTTCAGATTGGAATATTCCTTGCTACAACTTATGTCAGTTGCCTTTTTGTCCTTGCCACCTGTAAGAAGTCTGGCTTGGTGGTCTTTGTTGCTTCCACAGTAGATACTTGAGGACATCATTTTTGTAGATTATCTTCGTAAAGCTATCCGAAGCCAGCTACCTCTGCCTCTTGTATGTGGCCTGTTTCAGCCCCGTGTTGTCACAGTCCTCTGTTGGACTCACTCCACTTTATCAGCCTTGTGCTGGAGCCCTAAATTTGGATGCGGTTTTTGAGAGGCAGGCTCAAAAGATGTTGAATCCAAGGGCATAGTGATATCCTTTGAACTGCTGATTGTCCTCTTGTTAGTGCAACCCAGTAAACACTTGGCCTTCATGGCGTCAGTGGCACAGTTTACTCCTGTTCCAGCTCCCTGTCCATCAGGAACTTCATTTCTCTCTAAAGAGGTGCTGCATAATTGGTCAATCCCCAGCTTGCACTGTTAGGGTTTTGCCGGGCTGTGTGCTGGACTTTGTGTTTGTCCTCATTGAACATCTTGAGGTTTTTGTCAAACTTTTCTTGTAGCTAATCAAGGTCCTTGTGAATGCCCTGCCCTCCAGCACATCTCCTGGCCTCACCAAGTTCCCTATTTGCTTTTCATCTCCTTTTTAAAGGAGATGCTTTTAAATATAGGTACAAAGGCTTATTGCTGAAGACATTCAGGATTCATCAGGCATTAAGGATTCATCAGGATTAATTTGCCATGCAATGACATGGCACTGTGCGTAACATTTTGCCATAACTATAATTAGTAATCTTGTTTTTTATGTGTGCTTTCAGGTTATAGCAGCAATTTCCTTCAGTATCTAAGAAATCTTTTCAGATTTACTAACACAAACTGGATGAAGTACTAGTTTTCATTTACAGATTCTCTGATGTGTTTAAATAAGTGAAAAAATAATCTATGGGATTTTTATAATTGTTATGGTTTGATCTTAAGGAGTACTTTCCCTTTTGATGCTGAAATAGTAATTAGCTATCATTTCTCTGAGGAATTGTTCCTGTTCAGGTGTTGAGGTAGAGTAGGTGGGAAGAGCTTCAGAAAGTCTCAGCTGACACTCTGAAGGTACATGCGGCTGTAAAAATTGAAGTAGCACTCTACATGGGGCAGGAAAACAGGCTTTCACTCTTGATTCCTTTTGGAGTTGTGGCCTACTACTGATTTTGTTCTTGAACGTTGAAAGCAGTGTACTTGCCAGATACTCTAGCTTTCATTTGGCTAAGAAAATGATAGTGTAACCTGATATTAAAAGAAAATTTAGGATTTCTAAATGTATTAATTGAATACAAAATTGTTCAAATCATATATTTTAAAAAAACTACCAAAGAAACAGCAGTATTGCATGCCACCAGTTGCTTTTTGTAACAAACCAACCTCACTGAATCATGGCAATTGTAGGAATTCTAGAAAAGAGAACTTGAAAAGTAATGTTATTGTTTTAGCATGAATTATTTATTATGCAACAAAATGCCATATCCCAAATAATAAAATTACTTAATGGGATCAATGTGCAAGACAGGGTACTGTTTGCATAGCAGTATTTCTCAGTGTTGTTTGTTCAGAGTTTTGTTACTTTGAAGACTTAAATGTAACTTTTTTAAAAAATAAAATGAACAGTAATTCTCAGATTTCTGAATGATATTACCAGGTTTTCTATTTCTTTGTATTTCTTCGGACTGCTTTCAAGGTGGGGGAATTTCCTTTGTACTATTTGATTTGCAGTCTCAGAAAACAAAAGTATTGGATTGTAGTATCAGTTTTGTTTGGGTGTTATTGTCATATGTCTGCTGGGAGTGTTTCATATTAAATTTCAAAAAGGATATGTTTTGATGTTTGGTTTAGTTTTGGTTTTGGTTTTTTTTTTTTGTTGCCCAATCTTTAGAACTTCTCCATGTTCACCCTGCTCCTGTATCAGGCTTTAACTAGGTTATGACACATGCTACTTTTTTTTTTTTCCTGGTTCCTACAATGTTTTGTTTAGTGTGTGATTCGTTTCTACTGTTTATTAGCTGTACAGAGAAAAGTAATCATTACTGTAATTAAATAGTGTAAATAAATTAAATACTGTAAATAAATAGTGCACATCCAAGAAGAAATTGAGACTTTTTTTAGACTATGATTTACTTATCCTGTTAAAATACTGTAATGGTTGTAATATTTAAAATTTTATTAAAATCATTTAAGCTGTAAAGATAGCTGGGCTGTGTGTGATCTTAAATGTTTTATGTTTTCTTTTAGGCTTTCAAAATAGACCAAAATCCTTAAAAGTCTTTGTTAATCCAAGCAGCCACAAAAGAGAAGCCACTCATGTTTATTATGAACAAGTTGCACCTCTTTTTAAGCTTGCTGACATCAAAACTGATGTCACAGGTAAGTTGCCTCAAAAGCATAGTTTAATCCTTTGTGAAACTGGCACTTAAGCATGCAAGACAACTTGAATTTACTGCTAATCCTTATTGGCTTTGCCTGCAAGTAGTGCCTTTGGAACGGTAGTTGATACAATACAATATATTTTTATTTTGTCAAAAAATGTTTTGGTAATTCTGTTATTCATAGAATATTTTTCCCCTACAGCTATCAATAGTAGTAATATATTTTTTTGTATTTTTTCAAGCAAGCATTCTATAAAAAGAAATTTTTATAATGTCTTATATAAACAGCATTTAATGTCTGACACTCTTGTATATGCTCCCTGAGAGTTGTTCCTGCATTCTGACAAACGCATGTCCTTAAATATGACTTCTTTTCTGAGAACATCTATTGGCCTGACATCATAAGAGGGGCTTATCCGAAGGACACATTATTTCTGGATTCTGACTCAGTTTCAGGGCTGACCTGGAAGCCTAAGTGATTAAATTCTGTGATGACAAGGGCAGTTCTCACAAGGCACATGGGCATGACTTGGTGTCTGGAGAACGTGAAGGTACAACTTTAATGTTGTAGTGATGCTGCCTTCTGCTTAACAGTGGTTTCCTGATTGCAGGTTTGGGTTTAAGGCCCCAGTTTCTGCCAGCGTTCCGCTTTATTTCCTGAGTTTTCCCTTTGGCTGTTTCATTTGATTGACTTCTTATAAGAAATTGAACAGTACATTCTCTTAAAGCAGTAAAATATTAATGATCTGGTCGTTACTTCTGCCCTCTTCTGTGATGAGACCAAAACTTAATGCTGCATCAAACTTGGTCCCAAAACCCACCCAAGTTTGCAGAGAAATTGTATTACTATTTCCCATTCCAAATAATTTTTTATCCATAGTATTACAATTCCCTTTAATACACTGCTGATTCTTGATTGTGCGTTTCGTATCCACATGATGTGTAAACTCTGGTGCAAGATATTTTAACACCTGTGGCTTTTGTGATTGGCTTGCAAAAAAATCAGTTCCAGCTTAAGCAAATTATTAGACAGAGGGCTCATCCTACAGTCGTCTAACTTCTTGTGAAGTCATGAGTAGTTCAAGTTGTAGGACAAAAATCATTCTGAGCAAATCTAATTTAGGCATGAGGATATAATAATACACTAAGTGTTTGTATATGACATTTATCTTGCTAATTTTATTACCTGTATCTATGTATTTTTAAATTACTTAGCCCACAATTTAAAGTAAAATTGATTGAAGATTAAAGATGCATGAGAATAAGTGTGAAAAAGTTTGTCTGTGTTAGAGTTCTGTGATGATAATTTCTTAACTTCCCTTTGTTAATAAGGGAATACCAGCAGCTTCATATAAGTTTTGATTCTCACCGATATATTTTCACCTGCAAGGCACAGATGATAGTGTAAACAGATTGGTGATAATGCTGTCGCAGAAACTGAATTTAGCCTTGGTTGGTCACAATTTTTTAAAAGAAGGGGTTTTTTGTCATGCAAACCTTAGTTATATTGACTATGTCGTATTGTTAAATCAGTTATTACTTTACCTTAAGCAAGTATTTAAAGAAAATTACCTTTTTAGAATTTTATTCCTTACTACTGGTTAGTGTTCCTTTTATCTTTACTGTGAACATAGTCTTGTTTTTTAGACTGTGTTAAAGGCAGCATTATCATTAACCTGTGTAAGATTACATTTTTAGCTATGTAATGTCACCTGGAATCCTAAACTAATAAGCATATCTGTGTCAATAGTTTTTTTAGATTAATTAATAGAATGTAATATAAGCTATGAATATAATTTGCAGTGGTTTTAAAAACATTTTTCGTAATTGAATAAAAACAGTTTATAGTGTACTTTTTTATTATTTTTCTTTTAAATTTTGAAAATAAACTTCTTGTTATAGCCAGATAAATGTTTAATGGCTTATTCTTAAAATAAGGTTATTTTGACAATGTCCAAATACTATTGTGCTTATTAGCTGCCTAACACTCCTCCTACAGGCAAAATGAGAAAACTACATTACAGTTTTAAATACTAGTAGAGAAACAAATAATTAAGAACTATGTATTTAAAAAAATAAGGGAGGGGGTGTGTGTGGAGGGTGCTGAGTGAAAGTCCTGTCTACTGGTACCATCTTCTAATAAAAATAAGTGCCTTATTTCATGTAAATTGAACAGGTTTTTTTCCTTCCATAATTGTTTTGGATTTTGTGCGTTGGAGTTTGCATCTTGCTGTTACAGGTTTTTTGAAACATGACCAATATTTACATACATAGTGGTGTGCAAAGGTGTATTAGGTAGTGAAAGTTGAAGGCTTTTGTACAATTTTTACACTGAAAATAGTTTACTTTTAGTCTTTTCACATACACGTATTTATAGCTTAATGTTCATTGAATACAAAGATCTTATAGCAATCTTGAACCTCTGAAGTGACTTCCAGTGCATACACAATACAATACAATACTTGCAGGTTACTTAAAAAAAAACACCCAACAAAACCAAAACAAAACAAAAAACAAGCAAAAAAACCCCAACAAAACCCACACCAAAAAACCCAACAAACTGTGACAGTGGAAGGCTGAAAGACAGAGCTCTCTTCATCCAGTCTCGTATTTTGGTAGCTGTCTATTGCTTCCTACCTGATGATGCTTGCCAGATCTTATTCTTCATTGTAACTCCTGTTGGAATAAACTTTTTATTTATTTAGAAGTTTGGAGCGGAGGTATTCTCTCCTGGTCAAGGATATACAGCAGTCAAAAGGCATGTATGTAGATAAGTGGGTTCTGAAATAGCATTTACTTTCTCCAGTTATCTCTAAATTTGGTAGGGTTTTCTGGTTTTTGCCAAACTACTTTGTGCGCTACAGTTGTATTCATTTTAGTGAAATTAACCACAAGTCTTTAAGAAGTGAATTGTGTTTTGCCGTAATTGGTGTTTGGTTTTGGTTTTTTTTTTTTTTGTTACATGGAATAAACAAATCTCTGAAGTGTTTAGTGCAGTAGAAAGTGGGAATTAGCAAATTTAAACTGAAACAGTACTTTAACTGTAGCTAAGGCTAAGCAATACTTTAAAATTGGTCTTTATACAGTCTTTTAAGAGTTTGGCAAGCTTGAGTGTTGCAGCTGGGATGCGGCTGTTAGGAAAAGAACAGTGACTCTTCTAAAAATCCAGTTCAACAAAAGCTCGCTCCACCTTTGGGGGTACCTACAAGTACTGGCAAATAGTGATATATGGAGGTATATCCTAGAAATGTATTATTATCTTACAAAATCTTACGCATACTAAAGAAAAGTAAATAACGGTAACCCCAACAGACTTCTAGTTTGTCTTACTTCTGTTCCTAATTTTGACTCTTCTGCTTCTATTTATGCAGAATTACAAGCTGGATGTTTAGGCAAAAACAGCATTCCCCACATCCCCATTTTTAGGGCAGAATCACAAAGGAAAAAAGAGCGATTGAGAACTGGGCAAATAACGTTGTTTTAAACTTCCTATACAGTAAATAACATATTTTTTTTTAAATCCATTGTCAACATCAGTTAATCTGTTGTTATCATTAGCAGTTTCAATCCTATTGACATAAGTCTGTGACATGAGAGCCAGTATTTATATATGTCATATGGAAGTGTCCCACGTTTTGAAGTGTTGAACTAATTATATGTTGCTTTTTCTATATGTAGGGGCTGAACCCTTAGTTTCTTGTTGACTATGTGAGATAGGGTGTTACGATGTTTTGGAGTGTGTGTGACTTTGTTCAAATGAGGTACACTGTCAGTGCCCTTCTTTCAGAATGCTATTGCTTGAAACTTCATGCATACTGGAATTTACAAGTTGGGAACAAAATGTTCTTGAAAAAGGAAAACTTTTTCAATTATGCGTTAGAAATGGTTGAAAACAGCATTAAATAATATTTTTGTGATAATATTTTTGCCAAATATGTAATCTGAATCCTTATCAAATGGTGAAAGAAGCTCTTTCCTCGTCTTACCAAAATTTATTGTGTGGGTTTTTTTGCTTTTGTGTTTGGTTTTGCCTTTTTTCCCCTGAATTGGAACAGAACCAAATATTCAAACATCTAGCTTTTTTCTGCCTATCAGACTGACTTTTCTGTGTCCCTCTGGAGGTTGTCAGGCCTGCAGAAAACTTTTTAGACATGATCTTCTTATGTCTGTGTTGGATTTTTTCAATTGTTTTCTACTTGGTTGATTTTCTATCTGTTCTCATTAAGTTTTTCCTGGAAACTTCATTTTTTCATTACCTTTTTGTTACAGTGTTTCAAAACAGATGCTGTGTACCTCTGTCATTCTCTCATCAAATTTTAAATTTCTTGGAACTATGCCCAGTGTTAAGCCTTGCAGTAGTCCTCCTATCATTTCCAAATTTAAGCCATTAGATGCCAAGAGGATGGAGTCCCCATCAATCTGACTAACGCTGGTCATTTTTACTACTTTTATTGATTTCTCTGTAGACATGAGCCCTCTTTCTTTTCATGTCCTTGTTCTTTGAGTGAATTCATTTTGTAATAGTAAATGTAACTTACATACATTACCTTAGGAAACCACTGAGCATGTTTTCCTTTACAAAATAAAATCTTATTTATTGTACCATTTTAATTAGACTGTACTCATAACTTTCTAAATGTCATCATGTTAATTTAAAAAGGCATGTAGCCTGGTAACCAACTGTGTTTTTTCAGGGGAAGAGTTTCTTTCACAGTTAAGCAACGGTAAGATATTTGAACCTTTCTGCATTTTTGCTTGATGCACAGTTTTATTGGTCACTTTTTTCACAATCTACAGATAACGACAAAAGGATAGTTTCCATCAGTAAAAGGAAACCTGAGTACAATATCTTAAATATTGTGCTCTGATCTTCCAGAAGAGGTCCTGCATGAAAGTAAATTCTGTAAATAATTTCTGAAAGCCGTTATAGTGATAGATATTTCTGCAGTGAAATGATAATTCTCTGCCTTTGATATAATCAAAATAACTCTAGTTTTTAATTAAGAATTTCCAAAACACCAAGCACTAGAACTTTGCTAGTACTGCTTTGGAGATTTTGAAGTTGTATGCTGATATACAATTGTTTAGCGTGAAGTGTAAAAATTTTATCACTCTTACTTTGTTTTTTGATAAAGTTATATATACACACATTTGTATGTGTGTGCATATACAGGAAGAGAGAGAGGTGTTCTCAATTCTTGGAAGCAGCACTTGAATAGTCTGTAGAAATACGGTTATAACAGGTACAGATACGGCATGATTGTTTTAGACACCAAGACTAATAATTTTAACAGTGTTTAGAAACACTGGAGAAAAGCCTTGAACTATGCTAGCACCAGGGACAGACAAGCATGAAAGATTAATGTAATTTTGCATATAATGATGCACATTCTTACACAAAAAATCCATCTGCAAGTGTCATGTCAGTCAGCAAAAATCTTTGATGGGTGGCTGCAGCTGGGCTGTCTCTTCTGGCAAAGCTGGCCTAGAAAATGCTAAATGTAGTTACGATGCTTCGTGCCATCTGTAGTATGCCAGTTTATCCTGTCTTCACTGGCATTTACAGTACTATATAGGGTATCAGCAAACACAGAGACATCAATGTAGAGTGACAGATTCATTTCCTCCAGAGGCTATGAACTCTGGTGTATACTTGTGCCACCTTTCTCTGTGTGTTATATTCTGTTGTCACTGGTATTTGGCTTCATTTCATACTTCTGTGTTTAACTCCTCATATTTTTTGATTTAGCAATTTGCATATCCTAACACAAAGGCAATTAAATTTGATTGATACTGAAATAATTCAGTCTTAACTGAGGATATGCTTACATTTTCCTGAAGTTTACCAACTGTGTCAATGCTAAAACTTGCATTTTGATGCAACAAACATATTCGCTAATTCTCTGAATTTAAATGCACTAAAGAGCCATGTGTCTGATGGCCGGTGAGTTTTCATGTAACCGTAAAACATGCCTTCTCATACTTTTAATGCATTTAACAATTAAAAAAAAAATATGAACTGAATTACTCTGTTCCTTAGGTTTGAAGGGCAAAAAATTAAAAAAACCTCTTAAATTATCTAATCTTCTGATAATTAAATAATGTTATTTTCCACAGTAACTGAATATGAAGGACATGCTCTCTCAGTTCTTAAAGAATGTGAACTCCAGGCATTTGATGGGTAAGTTGGTTAGTGACAATTAATGTTAGTAAACCTCATTGCACTAGTTTTTATTTGTATCCCATCCAAAACTATGCTAGTTGGTATTTCATGAGTTACTCTGCTTCACATGTATATTAAGCCTTAGAAAATCAGTTCTCATTAGACACTTTGTTTTTTGTTATTTACTGACAATAGTTATGTGGTTTAGATTCCTAAAGAGTGGTAAACAAACATAAAGCTTTCCTAAACATGCTTCATGAAAGCCTCAGCCTCTGTATTTGCAAGACAGGCGCAAGTGCCTTGTATTTCTCTCTTATCCATTCAAATGGTTCGTCAGAAGAACATCTTATATAAAAATAACTTGAATGATTTTTCCATTTAAAAAAGACCCCAGCATTCAAACTTAGTTGAAGTCAAGAGTGAAAATGCTTGTTCAATCATTTTTAAAGACCTAGCTATGTGGATTAATCCTGCAATCTTTGGTACTCTTACTTTAATCATTCAATAATACATAAGAATAGTTTTGCATACTGTGGAAGTCTTAGAGCATTCTTACAATTCATATTGGAATATGCAGTGAGCCATACAAGAAAGTTTAGTGTTTTATAGTTTTAATAAATTTCTATTGGTTCTAGAAACTCACAGAGTAAGGGGAGAAAATATATCTGAAAATGTATGTATGTATTCCAGATTCTGAGGATAATTTCTTTCCAGTTAAGACATGCCTTTTGGGGTGCTAGCTGGGGAACCAGTTTGTCCTGGGAAGCACGTATGAAGACAGAGAAGAAAAAGCCTGGGTTGTATCTTCTTGCACAAACCCCTTCTACTCTGAGTCACATTTGAGTTGTTTCATCTTTGATCTTTGGGTAGAGTCACTGGAGTACTTCCCCTGTAAGACTTCTCTCCAGCAGCGAGAACTAAGGGCAAATAGGAACAGAAGAAGCTGGAAGAAAGTAACCCTTAAGTTGATATGATGCTAGGAGTTCTGAGGTGAAAAGAACCCTATCCTTTTTAAGTTAGCTGTTTAAGTGTTGGGTTGGGGTTTTTTTTTCTCATGTGGAAATTAGCTTTGTTTTATCAGAGGTTATAAGCAAAAATGAAATTTCTGAAGTCTTTGAAAAATTAGTTTTATAACTTCTCAACTAGCCTGGCCTCCATCTTTGTACTCATTCAATAAAGCACAGTACAGAAAAACATCCTATTAAATAGTGAACTTGGGATGATTTTTGATATAAGATCATAGGGAAGATGAGTTGCAAGGGTAACTCTTTACACTGAGGTACATAGATACCTTAATGCTATTTTCAAGTAAAATCTACAGAGAATGGTAGGATGAGGTCAGCATTCGTATCATGCTAAAGGACTAATACTTTGAAAAAGCAAGCTACAAAACATCACTAGTCTTTCTCTTCTCCATTATCTTTAGAGTTGTGCTTAAGAACAGGAAAAGAATATTTGAAATTGGTATTTTCTTTTTTCAAATTGTTTAAAGGTTTATGGTATACTTTTGATTATGTTCCTATGAAGTCCTTTGACTTCCTCATTGTTGTCTAGCCTAAGAAATTTTGCCATAGATAGAAATATCTTGTAGGCCTCCAAAACCACCTTAGTGTTTCCCAAATAAAATTTTAATTGCAATATTGGTTTATTGAAAATTAAACCCGAAAATGCGTGGGATCTGGTTTGAATTGAAAATTAACTCCACAACAGTGAAATTGTCCTACTGATGAAAAATCATGCTTTTAGCAATTCTAGCTGCCACCTGACAATAGTGGTCTTTTCACTATTTCCATTAAATCTTGAGAATTTTTAATTGTGTATTGAGCAGCATTGCTTGTGATTTGGCAGGCTTCAGTTCTTTACTGTTCTGCCCTGGCTTTCTGTCCAGTTTTGTTCCAGTTAGTTACCGTATCTGTCACTTAGTTCATAGAACCATAGAATGGTTAAGGTTGGAGAGGACCTTGAAGATCATTGAGTTCCAACCCCCCTGCCATGGGCAGGGACACCTCCTACTAGACCAGGTTGCCCAAGGCCACGTCCAGCCTGGCCTTGAACACCTCCAGGGATGGGGCCTCAACAACCTCTCTGGGCAACCTGTTCCAGTGTCTTACCACCCTTAAGGTGAAAAACTTCTTCCTAATGTTTAATCTAAACCTGCCCTCTTCCAGTTTATAGCCGTTCCCCCTTGTCCAATCGCTATATGCCCTAGTAAAAAGTCCTTCCCCAGCTCTCCTGTAGGCCCCCTTTAGGTACTGGAAGGCAGCAATAAGATCTCCCCAGAGCCTTCTCTTCTCCAGGCTGAACAGCCCCAGCTCTCTCAGCCTCTCCTCATAGGAGAGGTGCTCCAGCCCTCGGATCATCCTCGTGGCTCTCCTCTGGACACGCTCCAGCAGGTCCATGTCCTTCTTATGTTGGGGACTCCAGAGCTGGATGCAGTACTCCAGGTGGGGTCTCACGAGTTCCGTGTTCAGAAAATACACTAGCACTTCTGTACCTCCTTTAAGATGCAGAAGGCACTGTATGTGGTGGTAAAAGGTAAGGTAGGTTTTGTGCTATGGTCCCTTACATGTTTAACAGCATATGAAGTAAATTGAAGCTTACGATTTGCGGTAGTAAATTGGAAGTTTGTATCTCAGTGCTTCCTGTAAGCAATACTGCTATGTTGTAATTCTTTGTCAAAGCTGTTTATTTCTATATGTAATTTTTGTTCTCTGATTTCTCCAGTTCCCACTCTGTTTTGCAAGATCATAGGCATATGTCATGTATTTCATATATTCCACCTTTTTTGCTATCTGGTTTTTTTGGTTGGTTTTTTTTTTTTTTTACCAACACTGGAAATTTAGGTACTTTGCCAACTTGGCAGTGTGCTTTTTTCCCCTACCTTGGGGCCAAGCCTTGCTGACAACTGGAGAGAGTGCATTTTCTTGTTTGTACAGTGACAGAAATACACAATATACATGCATGTATTTCTTCCCTAATCAGGAGCCTCAGGTATTATAGTTATTTTTTAGAGTAGCCTGGGTCAGTCAGACTTTAGTGAAGAGTTGATTAAGAAACTTGTGTCTGATGGTTAGACAGATGTTTCTTCCTCTGAGAAACCTTCTTCAAGACCTTAGTCAAATCTGTTTGCTTAAGACTTTCTACTCCTTATGTGTAGTAGGTTCTCACTGATTAGCTTTGGACTCCCTGGTCCCTGATGGCATCTCTTTTTCCAGCCAAAAAAGGCTTGATTTAATAAAAATTAAAGTTAGCAACATTTTTATGTTTTTCCTTGGAATCTTCATCTCTCTCAAATAACAACAAACACAGTCCCCCAAAATGAGAAGAAAATGTATCTGTATTGAAATGTTTTAATAGCCAGAAGACAATCCACATAAGTCCTTCCAAGTGTACAATTTATCAGACTACAAAGACTAACTGATTTTGCTGCTCTGTTTTACTCCTCAGCTTAAAAGCTTCTGCCAATCTAAACCAAAAATTAGACAAAAGACAGGAGATAACTCCTCATTATGAGCAGGAAGAAAATGTGCTCCAAACTTGTGCTTTTTTTTTTTTTTTTTTTAATGTGGGCAGTGTTTAGATAAATACAGGAAATATTCCTAAAAATAGAGAAATTAAAAAATAGCTAGGAAATAATAATAGGAACTGAAGAAAAATGTTAAAGGAGCTGAGATAATTTAATTTAAATATTTAATAACATAATGAGTCTTTTCTTATAAAGAGCTTGCCAGTTTTATCTGGTTGAATTATTGGACATAGTTTCACAACTGCATTCATACAGATACATGAGAAAAAGATATTTTAAGTAAGTGCCTCCTAAAGTAAATCTGATATTTATATTGTAAATGCTTGGAGTGTACTACTACTGTTTTTATGATTAAAATGTGTTTACCTTAAAAACGTTTAACTTTCAAACCTTACTAATTTGGAGAATCAGTTTAATAGTTAGCTAAATAATGATAATTAAAAAAAAAAAAAAAACAGAAAAGAAAAAAAAAAGATGTTTGCTGTAACAGAGCTTTTACAGACAAATGCATTTCTCTCTATAACCACAGCAGGTGGGAGTTTAATTACATGCTCCAGAAGCAGTGATTAAGTACCTTCATGCAAAGGATTGCTGGCACTAGGGTTTTATACCTTGCTAAATCCCTCAACTGCTTGCATAGTGTGTGGAATTAGCTATTTTCAAGTATTTTTATTTTTTGTAGTATTTGGTGAGTTGTTATTATAAGGGCAATTAAAAAGCTTTGGAATACTTGTGTGGGTCAGCATCGAAAGATTTAAAGAACTTTTCCACTGAGGCACTTGAGCATGTGCTTAACTCTTCCCTCTGATCAGTTCACATGAATAACGTGATAAGGTAAGAAGTATTCTGTAAGTTGTTAGATGTATTTACTCCTACTCAGATAGAAGAAAGCAGAAATAAGGATGCTTATATCTGGTTAGTTAACATTCACTGATCTGACAGTGAAGCCCTAACTCGTTCTTAAAGAATAGTTTTTAGCTATTTGAAATATTGCTATATAGGGCGTGTGATAGCTGCCTTCCACTTGTTTGCTCAGCTATGGGAAGAGTTTGTTTTGAACTGTTTAGCATTTTTGTTTTGTAATAGGGTAGTTTGTGTTGGTGGAGACGGATCCGTCAGCGAAGTTGCTCATGGTCTACTACTTAAAGCCCAGATAGATGCTGGAAAAGACACAGACTATATACCAACACCTGTCAGAGCACCAGTGCCTCTTGGAGTCATACCAGCAGGTGAGACTAAAAGCTACTGTTACATTTGGTAGGTCATCTGTTTTAAGTCCTTCTGGCATTTTTTTACAGTTTTGGGTACTAAAGGTAGTTCTTGGTGCTAAAGCTTCATTTACTTAAGGGAGATATTAAATAAATGCCCTAAATTAGTGATTTAGATTGATTACAAATGACTAGATTTTAAATCATTATGATAATTTATAGTAATGGCACAGATGAGCTCTTTGCCTAAAGGAAGAAGCCCAGGAAGAAGAAAACTAAAATAATTTTCAGCTGATCTGTGCAAAGATTAAGTTTTGTCTTTATTTGCTGCTAGAAGTGACACCAAATGAAAACTTTGTTTTCTAGAATTTCCTTAATATAAGCCATGCTGTTTCACTTCTCTATCTAGTTTTCTTGGCAGGATTCTCAGTTGGATTCTTGCTTAGGGTCTATTTTTAAATGGTGTCCCAGGAATACATTTTGTGGATTATATATATATAAAAAAAAAATACTGTGCACGCAAAACTGCTTTCTCTTTCTATTACTTCTACAGACCTGAAAATGTACGCATCTCTCTGGAAAAAATCCTCTTGCTCCTTTATTAACTTGTACTCGCATCTTGTGGGCTTCTTTTTGTTTGTTTATTTTGTGGTGGGGGGTTGTCCCTTCTCCCACTTCTTGTATTTGCCCTTCTCGGAGTATAACTTGAGCCGGGCAGGGAGGCTTAACTAGAATTAGTACAGGCAGGGTTGATTCTGGACTGGTGTATGAATCACTTCTTTTTAAAAGAGGAGGCGTAGTTTTGCATGGACACTACCCTCTGGTGTGGATGTTGATGTGACTACTTGATGTAATTTCTCAGATGTTTTTAACTGGTAAGGAAAAAATTCCTGCAGCCAGGTTAACAGCAAATCATTGTTTTCAGTTTTCTACAGAAAAAGGAGCAAGTCGCTTCTGAACTGAGCGAGCAGCTTTTAAGTGCTCTGACTTGCTTTGCACTTATAAAAGCAGTTGCTTGTAAAAATGCAAGATCACACTAGCTTTTTTCAAGTTAAAAAGCTTGGAAATGTATTGGTAAAAGATACAGCAATCTCAAAGACATGAAGCAAATGAATTTTAGTACAGCAGTTGGACCATCACTTATCAGCTCACTTGCTGTGAACATCTTGATGATCTTGAGCCGGAATTTCTCCAGCACTTGACTCCAAGCTGTTTGGGCATGCTTAGGTCACCGTGCCTCATCATTAGTGCTTACTCTCTTCAGTTTAAGTCAAATATGTCATGATCAAGAAAGATTTGTAAACCCCAAAGAATCCTGTATGGCTTGTTACACAGAATGCCATAGACTGTTAAAAGAGGGTGAGGACAATTTATAGAATGATAGTGTGAAAAACTTCTTGATAGGTTCTTTAAAATAATCTATAGGTTATTTTATTTCCATGTTATTGATATTCCAAAAATTAGACAGTTAAGAAACAGATAATTATGATACTTGTGTACATGAAGAAGATGGAACTCAATGGTCAATTAATTCCGCCCGCCCCTCGAAATCCATTATACCAAGTTATTACGATTCTCCAGCCGAGTAAAAATAGAAACTCTGCTATGGGATAGCATTATTTGAGTGGCTTAAAATCTGGTTTTATCCTCTATTATAAGTAGTAAAGACAGCATTTTGAAGTTTCAGCCAACTTGGTGGGAAGGAGCAGCTCTGGAAACAGGTCAACTCCTGAAGAGAAAGGTCCGGAGGGGAGTGTGTTTATACTAAAATACTCTACTGAGCTGCCTTTTCTGGTCCAAATCAAATGGATGAGATGTGGGGAAGGCTGCAGTTGTACTGCTGGCCATTAGCAAGAGTGTTTGTTGCTATGGGAACTACTGCTAAGAAACTGTACTGAGGGGGAATGGGAGAAAGGGGAGGGGGAACTGGGAGGACATTAAAAAAAGCTATCCAGTTGTTACAGAACAAGAGACAATCTATATCTGATGACTGGGAACCTTTTGGTCCTAAATGGTTCATTTAAATAAATTCATGATTTCCAATTAATTCAGAAAATAAAATATTACTGAGGGCCTGTTAATTTCCGTGATATTTCAGGCAAAGAACCAAAATGTTGGTGCAGTTTTCATCAGAATTTTAGCTATGCTTGACTAGGAAGTCATTACATCACATTTATCTGTTTGGATGGGGGAGACATTAACAGCCTTATGAATATTCATGTTGTCTGGTTAATTAAGTTAATTGTACCGCAGAAGTGCTTGCACTTCCAAGGACAATTTTTTTTCTCTACAATTTCTGTTTGGTACCTTCATCAGTCATGCTTTACATGACCTGCAGATACTTTGTCCTTACTGTGACACTTTTTCACTTTTCATAGGAAGGAGGTTGTAGGAAGTTGTTTGTAATGTCAGGAAAATGGATTAATATTTTGAACAGAATTATATTTTTTTGAATAATAAAATCTTCTTTGTTTCTGTTTAAAAAAACCATTGGTGACAGAGATGCTGGAGTTGTATGGATGAAACCTTTTTACAGTAAATTGAGTAGTTGGAGGGAGATCTAAACATGTGACTGTTAGTAATCTGTGTGGGGTGCAAGCCCATACATGAGCATCAGAGAAGGTTATAAGTCTCTGAAGTAATACGATAGTGTTCAGGGGAACCATCTTGTTACTGGTAAATAATATTCCAAGCTTACACAGGGGGGAGAAAAAGGTTTAGATACTTGGGAAGATGAATAATAGCATTAAAACCACTATTGTTGAATCACCACTTAAATCATCAAAGCTTATATTCTAATTTTTTTTGTACGATAACTTTAATTGGTTTTGGTTCTGTTTATAAGCTTCTCTTTTTTTTCTTTTTTGTTTTTTTTTTTTTTTTTGGTGTGGCATCCTGCTTGTATAGGATCTGGGTAATGAGACATTATTCAGTCATTACTGGAACCAAAATGCTGTTAGGCATGTATTAAGAGTTTTTTAGAGAAGGTGATGTACTTGCTACTGCAAAACTGTGAATGTTCTAGCTCTTCAACTTGTCGAAGGGTGGATGCATTTCTTATGTTTTTGAACACAGGCAGAACTTTGTTTTCTCAGGAGTCATGAAAGGGTGGGATTTTGTCTTGTTTACTTCTGCAAATGTTAATGAGCTCCGCAGATTTAAGAGAAGGATGCAATTACTTGTGCCTATCCTGTTTAGTAAGAATAAGATTTAACTCTCATTAAAGTCTGTATGAAGATTGGTATTGACTTCAGCTGTGGTCATTTGTTATTGTGCTGCCATCTGTATTGATAAATTACTCTTACTAAAATGAGGAATCCCAGTTTTAAGACATACCAAGCCTGATCTTCAGAAGTATATTCCGCCTTGTGGTCTTCGGTGACAAAGAAAAATATTTTTTGCAGAATAGCAACTTCCCTGTTGTCAATTTACAGGAAATAGACACGATTTGAATGACTTGTAATGATCTGCTCTTTGTGTGATTTCCTTTGTTTTGGAGAGGTTCCCATAAAAGTTTATAAGAGTTGGAAAAATTTGATTGAAGGAAATATTTGAGTATTTTTGAGCTGCTACTTTAGCTAGCTTCACTGGCTAAGCAGAATTAGTTGAATCTAGAGGAAAGTCATAAGCCATTCAAACATGAAATTGTATTGGGCATATACCTGTATTATTCTGTGAAGAATTGCTTTTTAGGTCAAACCTATTTTTTTTTTGTACCTGAATTTTCCTTATAGAACTGTATTGTATGTCACTGAATTGAAAAAACTCACTATTCTGCCCCATCCCTGGAAGTGTTCAAGGCCAGGTTGGATGGGGCTTTGAGCAACCTGGTCTAGTGGAAGGCGTCCCTGCCCATGGCAGGGTGGGTGGAACTAGATGATCTTTAAGGTCTCTTCCAACCCAAACCATTCTATGATTTTGTATAGTAAATGGTGTCTAGAGCTACATTTTTGTCTTTTCTTTTTTATGCATATTGTACAGAAAGGAAAGTTCAAATTACTTTTTGTTGAGTTGTTGGAAATAAATTATTGGCTATAAATGATTGAAATTGTAATATTCTCAGTAAACTGGATTTCTGTTAGTGTATTTACAGAGACTTTCATTTCAGAGGAAAAAGGGAAGACTTGTATTTAGCTTTTGAAGTTGTCAGATTATTCTTCTTTCAAAGTAGTTCATCATCCCAATTTGCTGGGTTTATTTAAACATTATTTTTTTAAGGAAAAGAAGAAAGAAAGTAATAGTGTAGTTACCTATAAAATTTTGAGAAGTAGGTGAATGAAATTACTTTTTTAATTGTTCAAAGAATAAAACTGCACATAACCTGATTTCTTCCGTGTACCACTGGAGATGTAGACATCAAAGAATGTTTTGTATCTGTTACCTTAATAGATGTCCTTCACTTATTTCCCTCACTCACTTATTTCCCTCACTCACTTATTTCCCTCACTCACTTATTTCCCTCACTCACTTATTTCCCTCACTCACTTCCTTCACATAGTAGGAGCCCTGAGAGCCTTACTCAGAGCTCCTCTCTCTGACGTTATGAAGGCTTTCCATGAGGTTCTGAGTATTCTGAATTACTTTCAGAGACTAAGGTGCTCTAAGGACATAACAGGTGCTCTGTGAGATACTGAGATACAATTCCCAGTTATTTTACAAGTTCTTATTCAGAGAAATTATTGAAAAAAAAAAAAAAAAATGAAGCCTGTACTCCTGAATAAGAATGACAAGATGCCTTTAGAGCTTTGTAACTATGTATGTCAGTCTTTCCAAATTTAGTATTTTTTTTTTTCTACCACTAACGTGACATCAAAGATTGCGGAGTTTTGGGATGAGCATAATTTTTCAGTCTAGTATGTGATGCTTGTTTAATTATTGAGTGCCTCTTGTTTGAAATGTGATGGCCTTTCCCTTTCCTCTCTTCTCTCCCTCACTTTTGAAAGACAAGTCTAAATGCTTCCATAAAACTTCAGGCAAATTTAACATCCAGACTTGTCTATTGCTGCTGTAACATATTTAATAATTCAAGCAACAAGAAAATGATTTGAAAATTTAACTGAACTCATTCCTTTATGGGATGTTAGGTTCTAAATTGTTCTTTTGTAACTTTTGTTATTTTAATTAATCCGTTATTGAATTATTCATCCCTTAATCAGTTATATAAAGGAGCTCAATATTCTGCCTGCTTGGTGGCGGCAGGCCCTGGTTCTTTATTTTTGCAGAAGTGAATCCTGTGGCCCTGCTGCTTGGCTAAGAAAGACCAGAGATGTGATCAGTGAAAAAATCAACTTGAAATTCTGTTAAAACTCTACCCATTTAGGAAAGATGCAACCATTCCTTGTTCGGGATTTTTAAAATAAATTGCTGTTTAAGTCAGCTGACACACAGGTACACAATGTCCTATACATTAAAGCAGAAGGGCAAAGTTTATGTATATATCCATGTTTCTTACACAGGTAAAGTGACTTGACATATCAATCACCACCAAACATGGGTCTCCGGAACGGTGCTTCTTTCTTTGACAAACTGTTAGCTAGTTTTCCACTCTCTCTTCCAACTCCATGCTCACATTGCTAGTACTTGACTTTTTGATTTCTGTTTATCAGCTGATTTACTACTCATTCCCTTGTTACAAAATAAATTAATCTCTTCTATCTGGTGGCTAGTAGTGCAACTGGTCTGCCGATGTCCAGGCAATGACAAAGACAAGTTAGATGTGTCCATTTTAATGCACATTTTAATTGTCAATGCCGGCTGACAATTTGTCAGACACGTGGCAAATTCTATGTTCTCTGTTTTTCATTCATTAATGTGTTCTTATATGTAAAGCTGTTATGCAATAATTAATTTTATTCACTATTGCTTCTAAGAATGTAAAATGTAGTCTGCAGGAGGCACAGCAGCTATCTTAGACTAGATCTAGTAGAATTTTGTCTGGGACATGTACAGTTTTACACCTGCTGGGTATTACATTATTTTGCCAACTTAAAAATAATCCCCAAATATATCTTACTAGATAATCTGTCTTCTAGTACAGTTGCTCAGTACAGCAGATAGGTATAGAAGAAGTGATTTTTAGGTATAGAAGTGATTTTTAGGGAGATGATTTGAAAAAAAAAAAAAGGGCAATTTTTGCAAAGCTTCCCTCCACCCCTCACCCCCCCCGTTGGCTTTAATGACACTTTATGAATGAATTTGCAGAGAGAATTTTATAAACCTCTGGAAGTTTTAATGGTTTTAATTTGTACTGTTCAGCATTTCTGCTGTTACCAAGACTAAGTAATTTGTGCAGAGGCTTTCTTTTCTGAAAATGCAATAAATGTCTGTTTCTTCATTCAAAAAAATCTTGTGTGTATATATATATATATTTTTTTTTTTTTTTTACTATTCTGTATCTCTCATTTCTACAATCGTTTGTGTTCACTTTTACAGGTACTACTAATATTTTGGCCCACACTCTCTATGGTATTAAGCATGCAGTGACTGCAACGTTGCACATCATAATGGGTAAATATTTTTACATACATTGTCAGATTTTAAATAATGAAGCAGCATTTAGAAGTTTGCCATAACCAGTGGTTTAATAAAGACTTCCCATTATGCTATATCACTGTAAACTATATTGTAAGACTTTTAAACCCCGATGATTCTATTCTGATTTATAGTGTACCGGAAAAGTTACGGTTCTTTGAGTATAGTTTCGTAGGAAAGCATGTGGACCTCATCTTTTGGCAACTAAAATCTGCCATGGATTAATGTCTGATTTTTGCATTCATGCCCTGTTACTGATGAGCTTTTAATGCAATAAGTAACCTTTTCCAGACTTGATTGTGTGAATAGTGTTACTCTGTGAGTGTTACTACCGATTGCTTGCATAATCACTTGATTAATTTACTTTAATGTACCTGCTGAAGACAATAGGAGAATACACAGTACTTTCAGCTTGAGGAAGTGGTTAGGATTGGACTTTTCAGGAAAGCATTGTCATATTTCTGAGAAAGTATCATTCAGCTTTTTAGTTCTGGGTGCATTTCTTTTAAACACAGTTTCCATAAGAAAGCTTTATTAGTAGAAAAAAACTTGTATCCCTTGCCGTTTGGTCTGCACAATAAATAGGTGTTTGAATGTGAAAATGTAATTATGCTAAAAGGAAAAACTAGGTTGCTAGTGCAAACCTTGTTTTCAGGTTTTAGGAAATAGTAAATACTTAGTTGAGCAATATTAATATTCTTCTCAAAGCATTTTTATTTAGGGTACTTCTTTTATTTTTCCAAATAAAAAAAGAGAATAATGAGGAAGGTCCATCTTGAGTATCTGTTTTCTAGACCTTGCAGTCAGGAGTTGCTCTGTTTCTTAGATAGTAAGATACGAGCCTTTACAGACAGAATCTAAAACTGTCTTATAATCAGAGACGCTCAATCCAATGGAAACCACCCAGGTTCTGCTATGGAAAAAAATTATATACCCTATCTTGAACAGAATTAGATGTCCAAACTCTATAACTGTAAAAATAAATACAGTTAAAACCTATATTTAAGAGCTCCCATATCTCCTCCAGTACAATTTTCAGTCATTAAAAATATTTGGTGGTTGCAAATATTTATGCAGCAATATTACGTTTTCTTTGATACTAATTGTTGAAAATTTGAATTGACTTGTCAGACCTTTTGCAGCTTGATGAAGTAGCTGAATTTTTGCCATAATTTTTTTAACATTTTGAAGCATCTGAACGTTGTTCTTTGAAATGACTAGTTTTATAGACTAGCAAGTCTTAATTGTATCTAGATTGATTCTGGTTTCCATTAGTAAAACTTGGCTTCCTAAAGAGAGAAGAGCCTGCTAAATTAGGTGCAAAAGAAATGCTAAGTTGTGTTCCATTTGAAATACAGATGTTATTTGTGATTTCTGACTTTTATTGTTGAAATTTTAGGACATATTCAACCAGTAGATGTCTGTACTTTCAGTACTCCAAGCAAGCTCTTGCGGTTTGGGTTCTCAGCGATGTTTGGTTTTGGTGCAAGGACTCTAGCTTTGGCTGAAAAACACCGTTGGATGCCCTCCAGTCAGCGGAAGGATTTTGCTTTTATCAAAACACTGGCAGATCTCAAGTATGCCATGACCTGTTGTATTTTTCTAGCGTTTCTCATGTTTTTTGAGGCAAATGCAAAAAATAATATGGTAAAAATACAGACAACAGTAGTTTAGCTATCTTGACTTCTTAATTGCAGACAGATTTAACTCAGATGTGATGTATATCCCTCTTATGCGTTAAAGAGGAGATAAATTCTGTATATTCAGCAGCTCCTTAAAATCATCTTAGCTTGGATAAAATCTGTCTAGCAGTTAAAATACTGGTTTACATTATAGTAAATATCAATACTTTTCTAGGCCAGAGGAATGTGAGTTATCATTTCTACCTCTACAAATTCCACAGGAAGACTCTCATGAGAATGACAGGTAAGTAAAACTGAGTCAAACAATTCTAAAGCTACAAAAATATGTGTCTCTGAAGATAAAATTGTACAAATTCTTACTTTTGTTCAAATTTGATTATTGGGTGAAACAACATTAAAAAAAAAATATTTTGACAAGTCCAAATTTTTACACTTTCTAAAACATTCTCTGTAGACTATAGAGGATTTGTTACAAAGCAGTCTTCCTGTCAGTATTACTGGTTTGTTCGGTTCCATTAATCCTTTCTTCCATTGAGATCTTACTTTTTTCTAAAGTAGATGTTGTTTAAATGTGCTAAAATGACTTTAAATTATTTTACCTACATGTTTTCACCCTTTTAGAAAGAAGAAAGACAAAACTAAAAAAAAAGGTGAGTTTTTGCTTTTATGGTTATTTAAAAGCGAACTGTGGCTGGTTAAACTGGAGTAATATAGAATAACTCTGTTATATTTAGGTAGCAAGGATCAATGGCACAAAATTCAGGGTCACTTCCTGAATGTGAGCATTATGGCAATCCCTTGTCTGTGTTCAATGGCACCAAGAGGCTTGGCACCTAATACGAGGTCAGTAGGGGTTTAGAGAATTAGTCATGTCTATAAATTCTGACATCTTACCTTAAGACCTTGGCTTTTCCGAGAATACGAGCCTGTGTTTAGGTAGTCTAGACCCTCTGGAATGGGGGAGGGAGCACGGACTGCAGCAGACTCGATAATCCCAGGAATTGTAATCAGTTTTTGGATCAGGCAAATAAGGTCAAGCAGTCTAACTAGAATAATGAGTGGATAATTGCTGTGACTAAATTAGTTGGCAAGTCTGACTTAAGTAGTAGTCATCGAGCAGTCATCTGTCATAGGATTTGGCTATATGTAGAAACTTCATTCTTGGATTTTATTTTATTTTTTCAAATATAAAAGTACCACTCATCTTCTGCTTTACAACCCAAAAAAGTGAAGTACGAATCGTTCTCCTGTTACGAAAAACTGAAATTTCACTTTTGTCTTCTCCCCCCGCCCCTTTCTTTTTTTTTTTTCTTCCTGAAATTGGGAAATGCAGCTTCTACATGTAGGCTTTTGGGAAACAAATGAATATGTAATCTGGTTGTTGACATTGACTCATTTTGCCTTTAACTCATTGAGAGCATGCTTTGAGGTGATCAAAACAGTTATCGGGTGATAAATATTTGTACTTGATGTACCCAGCAGATGATTAAGCATAATAGCAAGTACGAACTTCGTAGTTGTACACGAAATGCAACACTCGCCCTCAAAAAAAGAACACAGAAACTCATAGGCGTGTGTGTGTGTCTTTGAAAAAAACCCCATCACTCGGCAAAGTTTATAGAATGAGTCTGTTTTGTTTCATTTGATTATCGTTAGGTGAAAATAGATGTGCCTTAGAATTGATCAGATATTTTTCTTCAAAAATATTGGCTGATCTGGTAGAATTGTACTTCTTGGAAACAATGTAGAAACAAATGTTTTTGATGAAACTCTTATTGAGACGTTTTCTTTGCTACAGGGGTCCTGCTAAGCCTCATATACCTCAAGATAGTGCCCTGATGCTGTCTGCACTTAGGAACTTACTTTGTTCAGTGTTTAGTATGTTATATACCAGTCAGTAGAAAAATTCTGACAAGAATTGAAGAATTTTTTATTTTTTTTAGCTTTGCTTTTTCTTTCCATCTGTTCTGGCACCTGTTTCTCAGTGACAGGGAATATTATGACAAGTCCATGCAATTACTGCATGAGCCTGTTTCTCCCGTGGTGTAGTTGCTCAGTGGATCCCCCCTATCCTTTCATATAAGGACATTTCCCACCCCTCTCTTTTAAAAAATAATCTTTGGAGTGCAGGCAGCTAGTAGGATAGGAAGAGTAGACTCTTCAGACAAGTGCTTAATTTCTCATAGCGAATAGCATCTCGACAGTTAGGCTTTTCAGTACGGGAAACATAAATGCTGCACTAATTGTTAGAGACTCAAGACCCATTACAGAAGTGTCAGCTAAACTCATCGAGGTTTCTTCACTCTGTCCTATTTTCCCCAAGAGGTTTTTGCCTTGTGAAGACATTTGAAGTGGAAAGAAAGAAGGCTTTGACTGCTGCCCGTAACTCTAGTCTAAATCTGCAGAAACACGTCAAGATACGTTTAACTGCACTATGTGAGCCATGTGGGACATTTGTTTCTCAGAGCATAGGTGGTGTTCTTCGCTGCATATTGGACTTTCAAGAGAATTAGACTTCTTAGTCATCTCTGAAGATAAAAGTCCATAGTGCCAAATGCATTGCCCAGTAGCTTGCTGTGCCCTTTTATAGCAGCAAATATGATAAGGAGGCAACTGTTTCAGTTTCATGATCACTGTTTTCCAAATCAGCAAAGTAATGCGATGCCAGGTGACTTGTTTAACGGTTACGTAAAAATTATCTTCCTAGATTGTGCTGTATTGTAGTCTGAGAACATTCTCGATGCAGTTGTTCAGTAGGCAGAGAACTATGAGTGGGGAGAGATGTGTGGTGGTAGGCTGGAAATATTTATATTTTTTTTTAAAACATTCTCAACATATTTTCCAAGCATACATGCTGAATAAATAAATAAATATAGGTATGCATATATATTCAGAAGATAGGACATACATAATCTCTATATAGAATACAATTTCAGCAGTGATTGGCATGTTCATCAGGTACTCTTGGTGAACATTGGTTTGTCTGTATAACTTAAACAGGACGTTTAAGTTGCGACAAGGTACAGTTGCATTAAGGAATCCGTGAACTGATACTAGCTCGTTGTCTCACCCAAACTCTCAAAGATGTTAATATCAGTGGTGACTGGATACTCTAGGACGATTGAGCATCTGCACTTGTAAGGTCTCTTCTTGATTCATCTCTAGTATATGACTGTTTTATCTTGTGCAAAATTCCCTTAGTTTGTAATTTTTCTGTGCTTGGTGAAATGTATAAGTAGAACTGTACTGAGAAGTGATTAGAGAGTTTGAATAGTGGCACAGTTGAAGATCAGGATCTTTGTTAGGGCAGCGTGAGTGTTAATGGAGGAGGTGGATGGACCCACCTGCACTGGATTATATGATGGGGTGTGCTTGTGTGCGTCGTGGGAATGGTTTCATGGTAAAGCTCTAAGTCACAGCATTTATGGTAATCATTATACTTTGCTGCAGAGAAAAGCAAAAAAATAAATTTGTGATGCCCAATGTTTAAAAACCACCGGTTATGTAGAAAAGTGGGTGTTTTTTTTTTTAACTACATGTATTACATTCAATAAATTATGGATATTGATAAGGGGGTACAATTTTATTCTTACAGTGTATGTTATAAATATATCAATGCTAAAAACCCTCAGTTGCATAGTTTATATTGTTCTATGGGAGGGGTGGGGGGTGGCAAAAAAATGTAAATAAAACATTGAGACTATTCTATTTATTTACTCTTGCTAGCTTTTTTTTTTCTTTTTTTTTTTTTTAAATCTAGACTATTGAAGAGGCTGTTAAACTTCCCAAAAGAAAATTCATTAATTTGGAACTAAATTGGTTTGCTTTTCAGGTTGAATAATGGAAGCATGGCTCTTATTGTTGTACAAAATACTTCTCGAACAGAGTTTGTAAAACATCTGAAAAGATATGCCAGCGTAAAAAATCAGGTACTATTAATTTCTTTCTGGTGATTATAAACAGAACGGTTAATCTTGAAGGTAGATAGGCTGCAAGAGTTAATGTTAGCATCCTCATAAGGAGACTTAGCTTCCTGTCAGAATACATTAGCCCCCTTTTTATCTGATTTTTTTTTTTTTTTTTAAATCACTAGACTAATACCGATTAGCCTATTTCAGCCCATCTGTTGTGGTTTGAATTGTATTTGTGTTGTACCGTAGTTTTATGGGTGTAAAGCCCTTTCACCACAATAAAGGAAATGCGTGCTGTGTTTAAATTTTGTGTAGTGCAGAGATCCAGAACACAGACTGGGGGGGCATCATGCAACTCTTTTTGTCAGAAATAGGTAAAGGCCATAACTTCAGCAAATCACTGCGTGCTATGCTGGCAGCAGCCAATTGTGACTGTTGATTTTTAGCAGGTATGCATTCCATCTAGTTACGAGTGTTTGCAGAACTGCATTTCAAAATTGTGGTCATTATTCTGTCTTTGAAGAGAAAAATGAAGCATCCGAACATAGTGCCTTACTGCTGTCCTAAATACCCGCTGCGTAGTCTAAGCATGCTGGTGCTCATTCGAGTGTTTCAGGATTATGTGAAATCACTTTTACGAGAAGGTTTAGGTTTGAATTCGTCAACGGTCAGAGAGTTTGGGGGAGAGGTCACAATTTCACGTGACATCACTAACAGCTGCATTTAGGAAATAGTTTATGCTTTCCATTTATGCATTTGGAGTAAGGCTTTGCTCTTCTCTCTGCATTTTTCTTAGAAATTAGACAGGGAGGTGTGGACCCTCCTTTAAACGGAAGATGACCATTTAGTGGAATTCTAACTAGCCTTGTTTAGGACAGGATTACTGGTAATAATGAACAGAGCGCAGGAAAAAATCCGCTTGGACTTTCACATATCCTGAAAGCATTTGCCATTTTGGGGTGTGCAAAATATACCACCTCACCTGTAGATTAAGCAAGTCCAATATGGGAATGCAAATGGAACACTACCATTTTTTCTGAGGCACTATTTAGGATAAAAATAGCATGTTAATCTATAAATGCTAGCTGGAATATATAATGCCTCATGTGGTCGAAGCTTGAGTTAAGTGTTCCCATTTACTTAGGACCAAAAAAAAGCAAGCTTTTTGATTTCAAGTAATCCAGTTTGTTGCTAAGCTACCACCAATATCTTTCATCTTCATTTAATATATATCTGTGTTTGGTTTAGTTCAATTTTCCCTTTGTTGAGACCTACACGGTTCAAGAAGTAAAAGTACAACCCAGGCTTAAAAGTGGGCTTGATGCCAAAGAAAATACATATTTGAATGCTGCTTCTGCAGAAGGAAATTACCCTTGGAATATAGATGGAGACTTAATGAAAGAAGCATCAGAAGTTCACGTTCGGTAAGGCTAAGTATTATGTTTATGGACTGTATACCTGTAACGGATTAGTACCGCAATCTTAAATGTATTTCGTCTGTATATAATCCAGATGATGCCAAAACTGGGTGTTGTGAATGCTATGAGAATAGTAGTGCCCTGTCCTGCCCAGTCTGGCCCTTTTGCCATTGTTTGGGCCTCTGCCCTCTTGCCTTCTGCCCATCTTTGGAAAGGTTTGTTATGACCCACACGGCCTTTCCTTTCTGGTTCTTCTTCAGCTTCCAGCTCTACTTCTTCTCTGCTCTCTGCCTGTTCCTTTACCCTGCTGTTTCTTAGAGGAGGACAGACGTATATAAAGGTCTGTGACTCTGGGGAGGAGCTCCTTTCGGGGTAAGGATTCCTGCTTGGAAAGCAGTGTGTTTGAGGTTAATAAAAACACGTAGTTGTTCGGTTATGGGAAACTTAGTGCTGCTTGAGAATAGCCTCCCTGTCGAGGAGCTGAGACGGAGCCGATGAACACACAGGGCAATGGGAGGATTATCAGTGGAATTAAATGGGCGGTGGCTCGTGCTTCTGCAGCGCACACAGGATTAGTTGAAGGCACAAAGCTCAGAGTAACAGTTGGGAATGCAAAATAAAAGGCAGATCGTATTATAGGATATAGAATGCATACTTCTAAAGATGACCTTATAGGAATCATCAAAATGTAATTCACCTGATTTTATTCCATATAGCAGTTGATACGTGTTTGTTCATCCCCCTTCCCCCAACCCTCCGAAGTGGCACAACCGTTGCAAGAGTTAATCAAATTGATAACAGTTTGACTTCCTCACTTCACAGGGTGCATCCTCAACTTATTAATCTCTATGGAGTGAACACTGATGACCTGGAGAGTTCCCAAGCAACGTGCAACTGCATCTAGAAGGGACACACTGCAAGTTCAGTATTAAAGAATCCTTTCTCGCCTCTATGCACAGCTTTCCAAGGTCCCAGGCTTTCTCTCGCTGAATTCAGTTGTTGTAGCAGAAGCTTAACAGGGCTGTTTGTAATATTTCTGGATTTAAATTTTTATATAGTTATATATTTTTATGAGGTAGTACTTAATTGTAAAGAAATAGGCTTAACAAGAAAAATGAAAACTGATTATATTGGTCTCTTATAAATTTGGGGTTTGAGAAGTGTCCATCAGAATAGAAGAAAATATTTTTTTTTCTTTCAAATTATTCTAGATTTTGCAATAAATATAGTGTGAGATGCTTTTAAGTCTGCTGCTGCTATCCATGTTGTCAGGTAGCTCAGTTCAAATAGAGCTGGTGAGTGGAGGTATGGTACAGGCTCATGCTGAAGAATGGTGGCAAAATAGAGATTGATTTATTTATTTTTTTAATCAAGTACTTCCATTTCTAGTTATAATTTTTAATGTTGCCTTAATGTATTTGCTTTCAAATCATTTCTAGTTAAACAGGAATACAAAAGAATATGCTAATGTCTTATACGGCTTTTCTTTGTGGAAATGTATTTTAAAGACTACTCTTTGTACAAAATAAGTAAAAATATTTTGTATACCCTAGAACTGAAATGATATTCAGCATAGTTTTTGCTGCTGATGATAATAAAGTTACGATAAATAACTTGAGTTGACTTAAATTTTTATAACTTCCTTGTAGGGCATGAACATAATTTTTAGGAGTGTTTGGATTTTTCGTAACTTATTTAATACAGCAAATTAAGACTATATTCTTTCTGGGAACTGGCGTTCTCTGAGATGATGAAGAGTAGCAGACCAAGATCGTCCATCTGCAGGACCATGGGGATAATGAACGTTTTCCTGGTCACTTCTCTATGAATCGTTCAGAGGGCGGCTGACAAATAATGGTATGAAAGCTGCATTGTCTCGTGGCTAGAATGAGTTGCTTTAAGCTCTTTCTTCAGTAAACAGTCAAGTATAATGTGAAATTCAGTCCTTTGAGATTTTGTTAAATCAAGGGCCTAAGGCCTTACATAGGAGCTATAGCTCCTGTATTTTATTTTACTTGAAATACTACTTGTGAAAAATTCTTACCCGTGATAAATACACAAGGCAAAGTAGTACTGCAGATTATTTGTCTTCTAAGAACATGCTGTTACTTGTTGGAAATCTCATGTGGTTTCTGCAGACAAACCTGGCCAGCAGTAAAGGCCAAATTCACAGACAATCAAATGCCCGCTTCATAGGCAATTAATTATGATAGGAATCCTGTAGCTAGTTCTGCTCTTTGCACTGGAGTTAGCGGCTGCAGAGGAGGATCAGAGTCACAGCATCCTTTGGGCTGGATGGAGCCATGGATTGGAGCCCCAGCAGGGCTCCAGCCCAACCTGCTCAGAGCGGGTCCAGCTGTGAGACCACATCTGGTTGCTCAGGGCTTCCTCCAGTTCAGCCTTGAAACCTCCAAGGATGGAGACGACACCACCTCTGCACCCCTGTTCCGATGCCTGGTTGTCCTCATGAGGAAAATGTTTTTCCTGATGTCCATCTGGAACCTCCCATTTCAGTTGATAGCCATGGTCTGTCTCGCAGTGAGTAGTCTCCAGTTAACTACTATAACTGATGCTACACCACATCAAATATCTTTAACATGTTAAGACAATTCAAACTAAACTTCCTATAGTTGTCTAAGAAGGAGATTCCAGCTGCATTTAGTAGATTTAATTGTTTTCATTACGTAACTGAAAATTAACAAAATAACTGAACTTGCAGAAGAGACAGTATTCATATGCTTAACTTGTTGGGGTTCATTTTAATAAAGTGAAATTGAGCCATCAGGACATTGTACATTCATTTTTTTTGTCTACCTGGTTTATAAAAGCTAATTGAATTTGCTTCATATCCTAAGAACAGGCAGCCAACATTTTATTTACATGTTAATAATAAAATCTGAATAGGAATTACATAACTTCCAAGGCAACATTATCACACGTACTGACTTATGTAAACTATTTCAAAGATAAATAAAATGCTTTAGTTTCACTTCTTTGCATTGTTTGTACTAAAAAGAATCTTAATGCTTCTTCCAGTATTTGAGGTATATTTTTCACAATATGCTGTAATATCAAACTAATTTTTGTTCAAGGATGTTTTGGTTAAAGTGCAAAAATTCACTAAAGCCATTTGGAAGATAAGCATTTTGTGTACATTTTCATAGACTTGCAAGAAAATACTTCATTCTTCACATACTTTATTTTGATTTTTTTTTTTTAAAAATATATGCACATTCATTTGTCTTTACACTGCAGATCTTAGAGAGAAAATTTACTTAAGAGTGATCCACATCTTTGGCATCAAATGAAGTGAAAGTAAATGACAAAATGGTCCCCAATACCTTTAGAGTCTGTGGACAGTGTGGCTTTTATGGCACCAAATGCCACATTAGGGAGAGTGCTTGTTGAAGGCACTCTGTATTGCTTTTGAGGCTCAGGCTAATTCCCATATGCTGGTGCAGCTTCAAGGTGTATGTATGTACTACATTCATTTCTCCTTGTGGTTCAGAAAGACGTCAAAGGCACGGCAAGAAAGGCCATATTGCATACTGCCGTTGCAATACGTTCAGTTATTGAAGAAGTTGTACATTCTCCAGTTAGCTGTACTGGGGAGCAAAGTAACATCTTTTTTATTTTTTTTTTTCCCCCTGGATTGTACTATTTCACCAAAGCTAGGTGGCAGTGCAAACTTATCTAGCTGAAGAAACTTCCTGGAGAAGCAGAGCAGTGGTTTGAACCATGTTTCTAGTCAGGCATTTGTGTGGCTTCTGAGGCCGCCTGTTTGGATGGTATTTATCTGAAAACTTCACAAGAACCCAAGCCGGCTCTCCAAATGACTTCTTTCAGGTAAAGGGTGGCATACCTAAAGATAAAATTAGGCCCGGTAGGGTTGGCATTTGGAGTCTTTTGGGTATTCGTTTCTCCGTTTTGCATCACGTGAAGTCTTTTTCTTTTTTCAGGTCCTGGAAGAATGCCAGTACTAAGTACTACTGTGCTAAGGACTATAGAAAAATATGCAAATAAATAAAAATAAATACTTGCTTTAAAAAAAACCCACATAGAAATATTTCATTGGAGATGTCCAAAACATCATGGCGGCAATATCGGAGGACAGGATGAAACAACTCATTCTGTCGTGCTTGCAAGTACCATGGTAAAGATGGCCCCAAATTATTCTTTCCAATACATTACTCTTTCTACAGCTGAGAGAAGATTCTGCGCTGCATCTCCAGGCTACCCCACAGAATTCCCTGCTCTGAATCCACCTTTGACCTTCCTGGTTCTGGCTTGCCTGGGTGTCTAAGTCTCTGCAGCGTTGTGGCTGTGCCTGTGAAGCCAAACCTTACGAGGATACCTTCAGAAGCCCAAGAGAGCTTCCGGTAGCTGTTTTCTACATCTGTGCACTCTGCTTATGGTCCATCTATGGTTTAAACTAATTTATCCTTGTAAAACTGCCAAAGCAAGACGAGGGAGGATTTATTCTTGAATGTCTAATCAAAAGATTATTGAAACTTGAAAATTAATAGAGTAACTCATGCTAATGTGTTTGAGATCTTATTTTCCAGGATTGGCCAAATGTTATTACTTTCTAGAAATTCTTCTTTCGGGTAAGTAATTCTTCTCTTTATCTTTAGTGTTCTTCTGTCTGTTTGAAACCAGGTATGTACATCTATGGCATTTCAAATATTACTGTGAGACTTCAAACCCAACTGTTTTACCACTTTCATATTAGAAAAACAACAGTACTCTAAGGTATAGTCCTCCATACAGTTCAAGGAAATAAAAGTGTATTTTGTAAGAGCGAGTGAGCTCAAGCCCAGTTTTCTTGTCACTGATGTTTCTCCTGTGAATTAACCTGAATCTTAAAGTCTTCATTTTAAAACCAAACGTTTATTTGCCATCTTAGTCATCTTTATTCCCACTTGTAAAGCTCCAGCTGTCTCTTCTGTTGTTGTCTTGAGGGACTGGTTTGTATTGCCTTTTGAAAAAGCCAATCTGAAATACATAATTTTGGAAGCTTGTCAGCAAATCTTTGTTACCAAATCTAAACCATAAAAGATGAACTAAAATAAAATGCATATACGTGGTGTTGATGAACAATGGTATTTGCCGTTGCTTTGTCATATCAAGTAATCAAGTATCACTCAATCAAAAAAGCCGGTTTGCTTTTTCTTTTACTTTTTGGGAGGCTAATACTCTCCTGCAAGGAGTAAGGACACGTGGGCTTGTGAACTATAATGCTCCACAGAATCCAGTATTTTTTTAATGTGAAATGGTAATAAAACTTTCCTGTAAAATTTGTTTCACTTCTACAGTTCCCTGGGAAAAACAAGGGTTGGAGAAAGTCTGCAGATAGGTAAAGTAGTTAACAATCTCTTAATCGCTTGTCAGAGAAACTGCATCCTTCATAGTTTTCTTTTTTACTTATGCATAGGATATTTCTAGCATTTATGTTGCAGTATAAAATGTTTAACATTTTATATACTGGTATGAAACTATGTTGTAGACTATTAGTCATCATGTGTCAAGTGACATCAAACGTGGAGCAGCATCCCACAAAAATGATCCATTTGATATCATTAAATTATAAATCTTTTGCAAACATGAGGTGCCATATAGCACGTGGGAAGAGGTTTGTGGTGTTGAATAACAAATGATGTAGAATACACAGAAGATAAAATGAAGGAAAATGGAGAAGTATTTTGGATAAAAAAAAGTTACAGGAAGAATTATGTTTCTTTAGAAATGACAATCATAATAAAATAAAATATTATTTATCCCTTAACCTGCATTAAAAGATCCAAAGATCCACCAACAATGTGAACTCCCGACTTGAGAACAACTGAGAAATACTGAAAACCTACCTTCCATAATATAAATGAAAGAAGCAAAAACAAGGTAACACCAATTATTAAGCCTATTCCAATAATTAGCACAGTAACACGGTATTTTGGCTTTTGGTGGTGCACTCCCTCCAAATAGACCTGGAAAGCAGAAAATAAGTTTAGTGCTAACTGATTTTTTTTTTTCTAT